CGTGTTCAATACTTATTTTACCTGCTGTATATTGTCTAGAAAAAACTGAAGCACTTATATCCTTAGTCACAAACCCACCTTCACCTTGTATAATCAGCTGAAAGAACTCAATTATAATCTAGAAAGATTCTAGTCTAAATCCTTCACATTTAACATCTAAATTTCTAATAAAATGAGGTGGTTTCTAATGGTTTTAAAGGATGAAGTTTCCTTGTATTTGGTCTAAATGTCACATGAATGTAAGATTTTCTGCTGTTCACTCAGACGATCAAACTTCCCAACAGGCCTTTAAGAAACAATAAAGAGGAAATAAATCTGTGCGTTGTGTTTTGTTCAAGTGCACCTAATTACTACTCACACTGAGATCAGTACACAAAACAAAAACCATTACAACAGGCTTGTTTTCTCGTTACAGCTCATTGTACGTGGTTCTGTAAATGAGCATACAGCACACAAAACACTTAAAAACAAATCCATTAAAAAGAAAATAAAACTACAGAGCCTAAAGTAAACATTCTCATATTTATTAGATCACTCATTGCACATGATGCTGCAAAATGCAAACACTGTATGCACACAGTACAGATTTCAGTACAAACGTGAGGCAGCTGCTGTTTCACAACTGYCCACCAGGTGGCAGCAAAACAGCCTTCTTTTGACAAACACGACAATATTTCTATTTCAACTCTTTTCTTCAGAGAACAATGAGAAAAATAAGTTTTTGTATTCATTCTCAAAGGAAAAAAATGCACAATGTAAACATGATGAAAGCAATACAAGTTCAGGTTATTCATGCTTTTATTCTTTACATGATCCAGACGCTCATTTTCCTTCAACAAATCCCTCCTAACAGCAGATCTCACTCTTATTCAATTATAAACTTAAATTCCTTCTGCAGCTGTGTTCATMATATTCAGATCAGCTGAAAACTTTTTTTAGCCCTTAAATCCTCATTTTTATTTTGTGCTTATTTGACAAAACAATCCTTGAAATAAAAGTAAGTAAATGAGAACATACTCTAATTTGGAAAAGTTCAAGCTTTACAAGGTTTTAATGAGATGTTCCAATGCAACGTTGAGACTGAGGTGGGAATATTGTTTTATGTAATCCGGTGTTGTCCTAGATTATTTCTCAGATTTTCATTCCATATTCAAGAAACYTGAACGTTTGATGTCGGAGCGCAGCAGATCTGCTCTGAATTTTAAAACTGCTATAATTGATGTTATGGTTACAGATTAACTGGGCCCAATTCAACATCAGAACACAGTAACATTCTGGAATTTTACAACAACCACTGCAGAGTGATTTCTTCTTAAATGAAAACATCAGGTGAAAAAAACAAAACAAAACACAAAAGCTGCATCAGTATTAGCATCTGCAGATTCCACTCTGAGCAATAATTTCTGCTCCACATAAATCGAGCTTTTCCTTTTTTTAAATCACATGGTGGAAGAGCAAAGGATGTTCTGCTACAGTTTGAGCTTTCAGGACGAGCCCAGTTACTGACATTTTATTAAACAAGATTAATAAAACCCCTCTAAGCTGCAGCCACAGCTCAGGTATTAAATCAAAACGGGAGGAGATTACAGAATGTAATTATAATAAACACCTGGCAGGTGTGTTGATGTGTGGACACACTGATGGACGTCCAGTCAAAAACATCTGGGCTGTCGTTTCGTTGCATAAAGATGTTTTTGACTGCATCGGTCCAACCATCTGGAGCTTCACGTCTAAACAAACAGTAAATTACACAGATGGCTGGACTCAAGTCAAGAATATGTGTGAAAGAGATGAGCTAAACACAAATGATAAAGAAAAAAACAGAATCAAAACAGCCAAAACTAAAAATAACACCTCCGTCTTTCCATTAAAGCCATAAAAACATCCGAGGATCGTTATTTAAAAAACATCCCATACAAAGATATTGTTGATTACACACAGATATTAGTTCTTCATGCAAAAACAGCAACATTAATCCTGGATTAACCCACGCCCATCCTGGTTCATTTTTATTGTGTTGTGGAAGTTCAACGACTGCTCAGATCACCCGCAGTGACTTCAGTTTGTGCCTAACTCATAAATAAATAGTGTTTGAGATGAAGTCTCCACTTGTATAAAGTCTCAGATAACAACTAAATATTAATAATCTAATGTGCTTTTATTTTAAATGAAAAAAAATCAACACAAATATATAAACACACCTCTAAATGTGTTCCTGCTGCAAACACAGGAAACATCCTCCACTTTCAGATTTAAAAAGTGCAACTGGCTGATTCTCCTCCTCCACTGCGAGGAGGCGGAGCCACAGTTACAGGTGAGCATTTCTCATTTTAAAAACCTACTCAAGTGGAATTCACACAAAATGTTTCATCTAAAATATAAAACACAAAAGGTGGAATCAGTTGTCTGCTTTAAGACCAGAAGCGTCCACAGCGTGGGATTTACTGGATCTGTCCTTTAAGAAGCTGTGGCCAAAAGTTCTCCTCGATTATTTGGCAATTTCAAAAGACAAATTCTCAAATCTGCTCAAGATAAATGTTTTTCCTGCCTTCACATATTTCCATGCACGAAGGACACATTCCTACACAACTTGCCGTTTGTGAAGGTTAAAACTACACAAAGAGAAAAACCCTCAGGAGGGACAGTTTTAACCAGAACAAAGCAGCTCAGACTGCTTTAGTGTTTTAGAAATAATCAGATCTAAAATAAGATCTTAATCCAACAGCTRAGGCGTAACATGATGCCTTATTGAGCACCGTGTCACAACAATGTTGTGCTTTTAGAGCAGCAGCAGCARGAGTCGGAGGTTTTCTTGTTAAGCAGATAATCCATCACTGCTGGCTCGATGCAGAAATCAATCAGAAACAGGAGTGAGACGATGATCCGTTCTTTACGATCTATAAACAAACAGAACCTGTGCACGCTGGAGATGACATCATCAGATTCAAGCTGAAGAAAAAGAAACTCAAAGTGGTGAAGAGCGCCTGAGCAGAACGACAAACAGACACCAGCGGCTCCAGTTTGTGTTGCGGTGACTTTAGGAGGAGTCTGGGTCACTGCGGGGCTTCGCTTCTTCATCATCATCGTCATCATCGCTCAGGAAAAACAGCGGGAACATCCCTAGAATACAGCCGATGGACACGCCGATGGCTTTACCCTACAGGAGGAGCAGAAACACAACGTGTGTYAACTCTGGTGGGATTTACAACTCACAGCAGGGCTGTGTGTGTTTGTGAGGTAAATCTCTGCAGATACGCTGAACTGGTCTCCACCAGCAGAACAGGACGAGGGTCTCACCATGTGGGAGCTGAGCCTGGTCTGCCACATGTCCACCTGTTTGGGTGTCAGATCTGGAACCTGCATCCCCAGTTTGGAGGCCAGAGCCTCGACGTAACCTGCCAGACTTCACACACACACCAGTTTGTTACAACTAGTTTGAATCTTTATTTTATATGTTTGAACAAATAATTCATCCGGTGAAGTTTTAACTTCACCAACTTGAAAAAGTAAGCTTTAATCCTGGTCCTGGAGGGCCGCAGCCCTACATGTTTTACATGTTTCCTGCTCCAGCACACCTGATTCAGTCACTGAACTACCT